ACTATGTAATAAACAGAGATTAACAAATAAACAAATTGAAATCCATTCTTTCTAGTGCCAGTCTGTGACTTCTCGTTTCACCCTGAACATGTGTAAACACTCCTGGTTGACTGACCTCAGAACAGGCTGTGAAACCACCAGAGAAGTGAAGCGGCTTCATTGTCCCGCTCTGGGATTATGCAACTCTGAATGGCTCTCTTACACAACCTCCCATGCAGCAGCCGTTGAGGGGATATGGCCACTTGATACAAATCTAGCACTGCTGTGTATGTTTATATATCTATGTGTAGTAGTAAGTGTTGTATGTGTCACTGTGATGTAAAACAGCATGATATGCAAGCTTTTTCCATCAAGCATGTTGTGGAATGATGAGCTAAATCAAGCATTTTAGGTTTTGCTGGTTAGCATGAACATTTAGTTTCTGCAGAGGTCATATTTCTTCACTGACATTCATTCAGATATAAATATGTAAATATAAATTATTTTACCACATATATTTTCCTTGGCTTTTGTTGGCTTGAGGCTCTGCATGTTCTTGAGGTGCTATCAGTGTTGTCATACATATGAATTGATTTAAATAATAATTAAATAATTAATAATTAAATTCATTAATATTATTGATTTATGTTTGAATTAATGTATAAAATATTTATTAAATCATTAAAAACAATTTATTAATAATTAAAAAATAAATGAAGAAATTAAAGTACAAAATTAAACTTATTTAAAAAAATTTTTTTTTACTAAGGGACAAGTAAACATTTTTTTTCTTACGTTTTAAGTTAATATGTTTTAAGTTGTGGTGAACCTGGGAATTTCTTAAGGACAAATTAGCTGTATTGGTCCAGGTGATATGTGACCTGGACTTAATACAATGAGTTATCTCATTGTCCTAGATCTGGTTGTGCCATCTGCATGTTAGCCTTGCATCTCACAATGACTCATATTATCACAGCTGTAAAAGCTTTTAACTATGTAAAGTATTTGTCTGAACAACAGAGTAAGCGTTGTAACACTCTGATAAGCTATGTCTCATTTGTTTACACATCACTTAACTCCATTACACAAATAATATAGGTTAAACCATCAGAGTTACGTTTCTTCATACTTCGTTAGAGAGAGCCAGACAGAGAGAGATTTAGAATTCAGCAGGATGTTTTCACAGGATTTTGAAATTAATCCCTTGGGGGTTTGATGGCTGAGAGTCCATAATGCCAAGCCCTGTTGCATAATTCAAATGTTCCAATCCCCAAACGCCTTTTACACTGTCAGCTAAAAATAGACCAAACAAACAGAGGGTGACATTCAATATTGACCTGGTTCCATAAGTGATGCACTGCCAACCGGAGCTTTTAGGCCTGGTTTCCCTGTGGCTGAGTACTGTCATATACTCACGTGCTCAACATGCTCTAAAGCTGCTCAATTGCAAAATGAGGCAAGATGGGCCGAATGTGCCGAGCAGCTGTTTAGATGGGAACACAAGACGATGATGCGTTTGCCAGGGCAGCAGATGGATCAGGCTGAGTGATATAATACAGACAAATTTAGATGCATTACGAGAAACCGCATGGCACTCTTATGGGTAAAAAAGTTTTTCAGATAGATTGTTTAGTCTAAACCAGCTGTGAAAGTAACTGACAATCACAATGTGTTTGGCTTGAATTTGGAAAAAAACAGTCCCACAGATAAAGGCTGATGGATTCAGAGCAATTCTGGGCTGATGGATTCAGAGCAATTCTGAGCTGATGGCTGGGATTGTCAAGTATTATTGGAAATCGGCAGAGAGCAGAAATTCAGTCTGCGTCGTTTATACAAGGTCACTGGCATGGGCCTGTTGAGACAGCTTTGACGGAGAAGAATGATATTCATGAGGCAAGAGTCAATGATGGCAGATCTGGCTGTGCTGATGCATTATACATGACTGATATTTTAAGAGCAAGTCTGCAGAAAGCTCTCTCTCTGGCCTCTTCCATCTTAGCTAGGGATGTAACTATGCACGCCGAGCCGGTTGAAAATCGATAGAAATTCACAAAGGTAATTCAAAGTGCTTTACATAAAAGGAAGTAAAATAATCATAAAAAATAATCAACAATAAAACAAGGAATTTAAAAACTTTGAAAATTATTTAAAAATTGATTTAAAATGAATTTAAAACAGTTAAAAATAGAAAATGATTATATATAAAATACAGTGCAATCAGTTCGGACGTAGCACAGTGCTCATTCAATAAATGC